GCAGAGCTGTAATTCCCCCCCTCCCCCCCAACACACACATTTAGACATACCCTCTTTCCTGGCACTAGCAGGCATGAGGCTTCTGGTGCTGGTGGCAGCAAGGAGGTGGGACCAGTGCCTGCATCTGCACCCCCTCCAATAACACCAGCCATAATAATAACCCCCAGCACCGCCAGCATGACAACAAGCAGCACTAGCATGATGACAATCTCCTCCACCCCCATTTCAGTTCCCAGCCTGAGACTTCCAGTGTCAGGGGAGGAGCTGGATCTGGAAGCAGGGGACCTGAGCAACCTAGCAAAAGAAATTCTGGGGACTGAGAAGGAATATGAGTTTGTGCTCCACTCCTCTCCAAGTTCCCCTAGAGCCAAGTTTCCTTCCCCAGAAGGCACTTCAGAAGAGGTTGAGGTAGAGGTTGTGGAGGCAAGTGGCTCAACTGAGTCCACTCCTTCTGTTGTTGTGCCTCTGCCTGCTGAGGAGGGGGATCAGGCAGGATCCACAGCCACACCCCAGAAGCAAGGGGGTAGTGTGGTGTGGGATCATTTTGAGGTAGCAGATGATCCCAGGTATGCTATCTGCCTGCACTGCCGATGTAAGACCAGCCGGGGCAAGGAGGAGAAACACTACAGCACCACAGGGATGCTGATGCATCTCTGCAGGCACCACCCCCTTGCCCTTGCTCCTCCTTAGCCTGGCACAAGTAGGAGTGTGCCCAAAAAGAAGTCCCCCTCTTGCTCCAAAGCTTCTGTCCCCCTGAAGCAGAGGCAGGCCACCCTAGAACGGGGGGGCACGTTGCAAAGGCAAGCAAGATCACCCAGAGCATCAGGGAGATGCTTGCTCTGGATGGCCAGCCCTTTTCCCTAGTTGAGTGACTAGGGTTCAGACGGCTCATGGCACTCATGGCCCCATCCTACCAAATGCCCTCATGCACCACCTTCAACAGGATGGCAGTACCCTCCCCGTATGAGGCATGCAGGCAGTACTTGAGGGAGGAGCTGCGTGAGGCAGGTCCACAGGTAGCTGTGCACTTCACCTCGGACATCTGGAGCAGCCAGGGTGGAGATCATGCCTACCTCTCCCTCGTGGGGCACTGGTGCCATCAGTCAGGCCGTCGGTGGGATCTCCTTCAGGCCAAAGTGATGAATGAGTCCCACACAGCAAAGGAGATCATGTGGGCCATGAACCGCATGGTGCAAGGGTGGCTCATCGGGCAGAGCGAGCTCACCCGTGCGTTCATGTTCACCAACAATGGGGTCAACATGGTCAAGGCAGTCTGTGATGCCAATTTTGTTGGCATCCACTGTGTGACACACAAGTTCCACCTCGTAGTCAGGGAAGCCTTGGAGGGGGACAGGGCTGCCAGTGACAGTGCCATTACAACCAGCTAGCTCATTTTGAAGTGCAGGAAGGTGGCGGGCTACTTCCACCACAGCATCAAGGGGGGCAAGATGCTGCGGGACAAACAGGCAGAGCTGAGCATCCCACAGCACAAAATCATGCAGGATGTGGAGACTTGATGGAACTCCACATACCTCATGCTGGAAAGGCCGGTGTAGCAACAGAAGGCCATCCATGAGATGGCCTTGCCTGGGGAGCTTGGGATCAGTGGCCCGCTTAAAACAGAGTGGGTTACCATCTCCCAGATCTTGGTAGTCCCAGGCCATTCCTCGAGGCCACTGAGACCATTAGCACTGGCAATGCTCTCCTTAGCTGCTAAAAGCTGTTTAAAAAAAATCTTTTTTTTGCCTGCAGAGAACTTTATTTTGTTGTTAGCGGAATTCCCTAGATTTTTCTAAACAAAGGACTGCAAATAGGGGGTAAAGCTGTTGGAGCAAAACTATTGCATCAGTATTAAACATTACCATTCTCTACAAAGTAATAGATGGAACATAGGGGCTTGTCTTTGTACTGGCCAGGGAAAAAAATTCAGTTGCAACTTACGGTTTTGCCAGAGCTGATGACTAGATATTGTATGTGCAATAAATGTAACTAATGACTGAATCACTAAATACAGTGAATTCTGTATATGAGCAAAGGATAGATACATCAAAGGGGAATTTCCACCACATGCAGCAGCAAATCAACATTTAGCAAGTGTTACTACTAGTATAGCAAGAGAGGGAGTCTCCACTTATCTCAGATGCCTTTGCATTAATGGTTGACAACAGCTGTCATCTTACAGACAATGTAATTAGTGCCAATATAGTGCTTGTATTTTGACAAACAGTTTAGTTCTACTTATGATTCATAATGTACCTACTAATGTAGCATATTATGGGAAAATAATGGAATTCTAGTAATGTACTCTCACTATATCACAGTACTATTCAGTCTCTGACGTATCTCCAGTTTAATAGTTGGGGAGAGACACGTTAGCAAAGCCCTACAAGTGTGAGATAGCAATTCTACTCTGCGTAACTATTACAGCCACAGTATTTTACACTTTTCTACACCCAAAAGGTAGTGCAGAGGAAACGGAGAGGTTTATACTGTAGGACACTGCTAGATATCATTTGGTTACACGTCAGAGACGCTACACAATCTGTTTTCCCAGTGTAATTCAATCCTATGCTCACCTACTCTTTCATTCCTGGGAACCTCAGTCCTGATTTACAACACTGCAAACTATTCAAAGCTTGTTTACTTCCTCCAGCACTATCCCCAGCTATTCGATTAACTGGAAATTATAGGAGATATACTATAGTTTTTCCTTGTGACTGAATAAATTGACTAACTGAGATTTCCATGGGTCATTGCATCAGCTTGTGAGATCAGCAGTCCCTGGGCAGGTAGCACATTTAGCATGTGATCTCATTCAATAATTAAGCAAACAAATCCTAGAATCATAGAAAAGTAGGTCTGAAAGAGACCTCCAGAGGTCATATAATCCAACCCCCTGCCTGAGATAATATCACCCTATCCAAATCATTCCATACAAATCCTTCTCTAACCTATTACTAGAAGTACACAAATCAACCCTGTCACACAGCTACAATGATTTACACTAACCTCCCACAGGTAAAACAGTGGTCAGTGTCCTGCTGTTGGAAAGATTGTTAAAATATGCTTAAGAGATCCAAGGAAGAGGGCCACAGCCCCGCTAGAGGAAGTCAAAGGAGGAGATTCCCATATCCCCACACTAAAGGTGGAAAAAGGTGTTATTCTGCATGCCTGTGTAGGGCTGAACACACTCAGACTCCTGTTTCCCTATAAATGTCTAACTGCACAGGTTATTATATACTACTGTGTGGACAATAACAATTGTATCACAGCTGCAAGAGAACCAAATTACATTGACTGAAGTAAGGAATAAATACACTGAAGTAGTTTATAATACAGTTCTTAAAGAGCAAAATATACTGTCAGCAACAGAAAGCCTTCCTACCTCCTCACTCCTGTCTCCCGGTAGATACTGACGTTCTGCTTTTGGAGTTTGGCTAGTCTTCCACTGCGTCGTTCCATTGCATTTCCTCCAAAGAAGCTGCACACATACACTGCCCTGCTCTTCTTTTAGAAAATGATGTCCACATTTGGCAAGTTAAATTTTGAGAGGAATTGGTACAAACTACTTTGAGTTAGCAAAACCCTTACAAAATGCATAGTGACAAAAACACATCAAACATAATCCAAAAAGATATCCAGGAAAATGCATATGTATTTTACAGATCCTTCTTCAGTTAAGGAACAGAGCAATAAAAGCTTTATCTTTACCTAAAATAATTAGAGTATTCCTGGCACAGGCTAACTGTTCTCCTTTTGTAGCAGGCTGAGGAAAGAAACAAAAATACTGGTAGGCAGTATGCAAAATTGTATGTAGCATAACAATAAATACTTAACATGCCTATATTTACATATTCCAGCATAGTGGCAGATACTTTGGTCTAGATTGTGATACTAGATTATTGCAGGCATGGGCATCATACTCCACAAATAGTTTCTTTGATGGGAGTCTTTGCACTGACATTTTACTTTCCTCAAGGAACTTCTTTGCCTAGAAATATCTTCCTTGTCTGCCTCCTCACATATTATTTGCACAATAGTACAAGTCAAAGGCTGCATGGGTACTGCTATACACAAAAATGTAACCAGTACCAACAGTCAGCTTGCCTTCTGTGGGTCCAAAGGCACCCATATTTTAATAGTCACACAACCATTATGAACATCATATACCTTTACAGGATCAGAATCAGATCGCATTCACACATGTGTAAATGCAATTACTCTACTGTAGGTAATCACAGCTTAAAGACAGGCCATTTTAATTTAAATGCAAAAACATTGATTGAAGTTTCTAAATTTAGGTTTAATCTTGAAAGTTATTAGTTTTCAACTCCAGCAAGAGTAATTGAGAGCTCCACAAATAAAGTCTACTGCAGGTTCTTCCTGGTTTTCCATTCCTTTCATGCTTACTTAAATTCTTTAACTACCTTTATTTCATAATCATATGCTCAAGTTTTAAAAACTATGCACCTCATGCTCCTTTCCATCTTCCATAAATTAGCATTATAAATAATTTAAAACATCCTATCAAGTTTGCTGTTAGGCAAAATTTATCTTGCTCTTTATCATCCCTTCTCATTTTAATACACAAAAAAAGTCAAGTCAGTATATTAAATAAATATTTTACATAAAAAGTAAAAAATGCCATAAAGCTCTTAAGTCATGAAAAGCTTAACCTGCTCCCACTGATATCAACAACTAAATTTACACCAAGTACAGAAGGGACAGATGAGATCTACGTCCTTTAGGTACATCACAGTTCTACATGAAATAAATTACTGCATTATAGTTATTATGCTGTAACAGACTGTTTTTGCTGCTAACTTCAGTAGACGGATCTCCCTCCAGTGAAGGCATTAAGAAAACAAAATACTTTCTAATGCCTATGACCTCACAAAGAGGTTTTTGTCATGTCAAGCCAGGCATGAGGTCATGCAGAAACTGACTAGATTCTGTCTTGAGGCAAAACACATTGCGTAAAGGGAACATAATTTTAAAAAACCCAACATTGTCTATTTTTTTTCACTACAGATATTGGTATCCTCATTCCCAGTTAGGTGTCCAATTTATAATAGGAGCTTTCAGAGGGTGCATAGCAAGTATATGCAAAATTCATCCATAATTCTCAGAGGGTGCATCTACACATGCATTTGATCCAAGATCAGTTTACTTGCTAGTAAAAAATAACTCGCAAGTAAATGCTCCCGGGCAGGCATCCACACATGCAGGGATGTGGGAGCAGATTTGCACAGCATAGGGGCAACATGTGGCAGTTCTCTTGTTGCCCCCTCTTCCTTCCCATGCCATGACTTATCCAGCCCCTGGCAGTGATGGCCAGTGCCCTGGGCTCCTGCTGACCACTGCACTAGCTCTGCTGGCCTGCTGTTCTGACCTCTGCCTGGCCCATGGCCATCTGGGCCCTACCAGCTCCTCCATGTGCAGTGGCCACCTGCCCGGCCACAGCACACTGTTCCAGGGCCACCACCAGCATGCAACTGCCACCTGAACCCCATCCAGCTGGCTGGACCCCAGCAGGGATGCTGACAACGGCTGCCGGACACCACCACTGGGGCTGCCCTTGCCCTCCTGGGCCTCCAGCCCCATCACCTCTGGGCCAACCGGGCCAGCCAGGACTAGTGGCTGTAAGTCATCCAACAGACCTGGAATGATGAGCAATGGTTGGAGGCATTCCAGATGACCTGGGCCACCTTCCAGGGCCTCCTGGAGCAGCTCCACTCACACACTGCCATGCGGCTGCTTCTCCCCATGGACGCCTAGCTGGCCCTCATCCTGCTCAAGCTGGCCACACCTGCCAGCCTCTGCTATGTGGGCCATCTCTTTGGGGTGGGAAAGGCCATTGCCAGGGAGACCATCCTGGAGGTGTGCAGCACCCTCCAGGACATTGCTGGGGCACATGGTGCTCCAAGCGAATGACACCCTGGCAGTGGTGGCAGGGTTCCATGCCCTGGGATTCCCCCAGTGCATCAGAGCCATGGACAGGACCCACATCCCTGTCACCTGCCTCCCCCACGGTGACCACGCCTAGTACAGCTGGACGGGCTTCTGCACCTGCAGAGCCATGAGAAAGAAGCTGTTTGTGAGAGTTTGCAACATTTCTGAGATAAGATGCTATATACCAGGGGTCATGCTGTGCTTGACTTCAGATTGGGGCTCAGGTGTGCATGGGTGCTCAGGGACCATGGTAAGTTAGCCAGGCAGGCCCAGGTGGTGGCCCATTGAGAGCCCCAACCCCACTCACTCCCCAGAGGTAGGTGGGTTGCTGGGTCCTGGCCAAATAGAGCCTGCCTGCCCCACCCTGTTCCCAAGGTAAGACAGGCCAGGCTCCTGGCAGTACCTGCTGCCATGACACCAGACCCCACTGCCCTACACAAACTGGTGCTGCACCTCCACCTCTCCCCACAGTACCATGAGGCTGCCACCTCCAACCACAATCATCAGTTGGGGAGTGCCCACAAGACCATGCCCTTTATGTGGAAGCTGACAGAGATCCTCATGCCCCAGGACCTAGGCCACAACTCTACTGTGTACAGCAGCATGGGCCGCCTGCCCGAACAATCAACCAAGAGCTGAATGTCATTACCACCAGCCAGGACTGAGTGGAGCTGCCAACCATGCCAGCACTGGCACATGCAGGTAGCAAATTTACTCATGAGTAGCATCATTTACTGCATAGTAAGCGTGCACACATGTAGTAGATGCACACTTACTGCATAGTAAGTGTGCATCCTTCATAGACTGGTTGGGGCCCCAGGTGGCAGGCACTGGCATGGACGATGACAAGGCCATTGGGGCTCTTGTGCCAGCTCCATGGGCCTTAGCACAGCTGTCCCTGTGCTGCCAGGCCTAAACAATTGCCTACAGCACCCAGCATAGGGGCACAGCACAGAACTGGAAGCAGCACAGCAAGGCAATGCCACACAGCACCTGCAGGCTCTGGGCAGGCTGCAGGCAGCTGGAGCTGGCCCCAGTGGCCAGGAGCTGCCTTCAGCTGGACCTGGGTGCTGGCAAACCTGGCAGGAGCCTAGAGCAGCCTGTAGGCCTGGATGGCATGCGCCTGGCAGCTGTGTGGCACTGTGGTGCCAGGCAGCAGTGCTGGGGTGCAGGCAGGCTGGTGCAGCTAGCCTGCAGCCTGCTCAGGGGGACGCAGGGGCCTGGAGTGACCTCAGGGCTCAAAGTGCAGGGTTCAAAATGCTTACAGGCTTTTAAAGGGCCTGTGTCTGGGGCAGGCATAGAGCTGACCCAGCCTTGGGGCAGGAGACTCCCAGCCTAGAGCCCTGGGGCTAGCCTCAGGCTGGCCCCCTAGTGGCAGGGCTGACTGGGAGCAAATTTGCTCTCAGTTGGCATCTACGTGTGCCTTACTGTGCAGTAACTACTCACAAGTAAATTTGCTACTTGCATATGCAGGTAGCAAATTTACTTATGAGTAGCATCATTTACAGTCTAGTAAGTGCGCACACATGTAGATGCACACTTACTGCACAGTAAACTATGCTACTGCACAGTAAAGCATCTCATATACACACACCCAGACTGTACATTTTATAGCTTATCTCCAAGTTAGGGTTTTTATAAAGCCCTCTCAAATAGCCTTCAGTGACACGTTTACTTTCTTTCATGATTTTGTGGACACGCTGGAGGGCAGGGAACAACTACAAGCAGACCTGGACAGGTTGGACATATGGGCAGAAAACAACAGAATGCAATTCAACAAGGAGAAATGCAAAGTGCTGCACCTAGGGAGGAAAAACGTCCAGCATACCTACTGCCTAGGAAATGACCCCTTGGTGGAATGGAAGCAGAAAGGGATCTTGGAGTCCTAGTGGACTCCAAGATGAACATGAGTCGGCAGTGTGATGAAGCCATCAGAAAAGCCAATGGCGCTTTATCGTGCATCAGCAGATGCATGACGAACAGATCCGAGGAGGTGATACTTCCCCTCTATCGGGCGCTGGTCAGACCGCAGTTGGAGTACTGCGTGCAATTCTGGGCACCGCACTTCAAGAGGGATGCGGATAACCTGGAGAGGGTCCAGAGAAGGGCCACTCGTATGGTTAAGGGCTTGCAGGCCAAGCCCTATGAGGAGAGACTGGGGCACCTGGACGTCTTTAGCCTCCGCAAGAGAAGGTTGAGAGGCGACCTTGTGGCTGCCTATAAGTTCATCATGGGGGCACAGAAGGGAATTGGTGAGGTTTTATTCACCAAGGC